GCAGCCTTTACCTTCACCCCTTACCCCAGTCCCTTGAAGAAAGCACCAGGGGTAGAATTCGTTGGGGGAGAAAAACAGGAAGTGGAAGCCAGAGCAGGGGTGCAGAAGTTCCCAGGTAACGGTGGCAGTGCCCCCCACCCCCACACACCACAGCCCTATAGGAAAGGGATTTGGGGGTAGCCCTGGGCCGATTGTGGGCATGCTGTGGGGGTTAGGCAAGGCCCTGTGTGAAGGGCTGTACTCGGGGACCACATACCACACCTGTGCCTCAGTCTCACATTTTATGTCAGCTACACACAACTGCCCAGTTTCCAAAACAGAGCAGAGAAGCTCATGCCTGGCCAGGGCTACCCGGCTCTTCCCTCCCACGGTGGGGTCAGGCTTCTCGCTCTCTTCTCAGGCTTTGATTTCTATTTGCGGTGTGTTTTTGTTCTATGTGAGTGCACAGTGGGTGGGGGCCGGGCAGGGCAGGGCGCTGGTTCTGATCTACTTGGAGAGCAGGCAGCTGAGGAGCGGTGTCTACCTGAGGTTCAGGGCCCAGTCTCTGCTGGAGCCTGGGAGGGGACACCACCCAGCGGAGGAAGAGGTAAGGCACAGCCTTCCAGACGCGAGCTCAGCTATGTGGCTTCTTGGCAGGCGGAGACACCAACGAGCTTGGAATTCGGGGGACTTCAGGGCCCTCTGTCCTAAGCTGGGGCTCATGCAGCCCGCACTCTGTCAGTTACGTGATCTGATGTCACAATCAGGCTGAGACAGAGGGGGAGGGGGACGGCGTGGCCTGAATGGGATGAGGGTACACTCACTACTGCTTGTCCCACTCTGAGCCAAGAAGCCAGGCTTCTGGCCACCTTTCCTCACAGCCCTAGCAGGCCTTTCCCTGCCTGGGAGCCCTGAGGCCCGGTGGCACTGGGGTCACCCTGCTCTCCTGAGCTCCCTGCGCACCAGGCCTTGTTGGGCAGCACCCATCTTCCCCTCCTTCCACACCCTGACCATCACTTTTGTTCCCTAGCAACCTGCAGACGCCCCAACAATTAACAGAGCCCTCAGACCCAGCACATCTAAACACCAGCTGCCTGGGTCCACCTGTCCTGGCCACTCCCATTGTCTCCTCTTCCCAGGGAGTCCCCAAGGCTGAGAGCCTGGCGTCACTCTGTCCTCCACTCACCCACACCCACCAGTACACCCTTCCCTCATGAGGCACCTCTCACAGCAGCTGCGGACGCTGTCCAGCCAAAAGCACAGGCCATGCTGTGGCTCTATTTCCTTTCCAGGCTTCTGCTCCTTCTTATGGTGGCCTGGAACCAGAACCAGGCAGGGGCAGCAGCTAACCTCAGCCATGTCCCTCTTCTCTTCCTTCTTTGGATGAGGTCTACCTCAGCTGTGTGCAGCATTCAGGACCAGTAGGGAAGATAGATTATTATAACAGAGGGCCTGCTTTTCCTTTTGAGAAAAGACTTATCCCCTGATCCCCACGTAGAACGATAAAGAATTAATATGAGCTAGGAGATGGTGCACTCGGGAGGCAGAGACCAGGACAGGCTCCAAAGCTACAGAGAAACCCTGTCTTGAAAAACAAAACCAAAAGAAAAGTTTAACTGCTTAGAATAGCCTCCAACTCTTAGTGAGAACCCAATACCTGCTTCATTTAATGTCATCAAATTTTTCTTTTGAGAAAGGCTTCACGTGGCCTGGGCTGACCTCAAACTGTGTTCCCAAGAATGACCTTGAACTTCCTTCCGATCCTCTGCTTCCCAAGGGCCGAGGCCACAGGTAATGCACCACTATGCCTGGTTCATCGTTGTCCATTCTAATTCTTGTACCAGTCTTTTGAGACAACATTAAAGCCATCTCGAAGGCAGGGAGGTGAAAGTGCTAAGTGGCTAGAGTGCTGGAATCCAAGCCTGTTGGGAGGTTTGTGCTCTCAGCCTGCCCCGCCTAATGCAAATCTCTCTAGTCTGTAGTCAGCTTTGAGTGTTCACAAACTGCCTATCCCATTTATCCCTGTGAAGCTCCCACCTCGGCAGCACTGGCTGAGGCTGGAGACTGCCCCAGAGACAGAGGCTAAGGTGGGTTCTCCCTTTTGTGAGGGCTGAGCGCGGCCCATCTCTCTGGGCCTGGGGTTTGGGTTCCAGGGCTCCCCTAGCGGTCATGCGCAGTAGTACCGGTGGCACAGTTTATTGCTCAGTAAGCCTACTCAGTGTGCCCGCCTTCCCCCCCCTTTATTTCTCTTTCCTTTTTTTGGGGGGGTTCAAGATAGGCTATCCTGGAACTTGCTTTCTATACCAGACTGGCATGGGACTCACTCGCCTGCCTGCCTCCCAAGTGCTGGGAAGGGATTGAAGGCGTGCTCCACCACAGTCCCGCTTAAGCGGCTTTCTGCAGCAAGCGACTGCAGAATTCTTTCCCTCCTGCCGTCTGCCATTGGGGCGGGGCATACCAGGGGCCAAGCTGCTGACTGCAGCAGGTGCTGGCGTGCGAGGCATGTTTTTCTGAAACCATTTTCTTCTTCCCCAAACTTCCTATTTCTTACTTCCCACACCGCACGCAACACACCATCCAGACTGCATCCCCTTCACAGGTACTGGGCAGAATGGCCCTGGTACACACCTCCCCTTGTCCCTCTTCACCTCCAGAGGTGGCGGTGCCCACCCCTGCCCTTCCTAACAATGGCCAGCAGCTGCACTATGCAGGCCCCTCTCTGTGGCATCTCCCGTTCCTCCTCTAGCCTGCCTGACCTGCTAGTTTCCTCTTTGCTGCAGTGACAGAAGCGCAAACAGGGTCCACCTCCCCCCTCTCCCCACTCAGTGCACTGGCACACAAATGCTACGTGACACCATTAAGGGGTAGGGGCCACAGGTCTGCTCCAGCCTGTTACTAAAGGTCACCAAGCATTTCACCTTTGAGATGCAGGCAGCATCCTCTATTTGGAGGGTACAGCAGTGACCCGTGTCCCTGACCTCAAGGAGGAAACACAGGACTTCATCTCCTCCCCTCGTCCTGCCTCTGTATGCAGGGGAGGGACATGGCTTCTTCCCAGTTACTTTTCTTTTTTGAGACAGGGTTTCTGTGTGGCCCTGGCTGTCCTGAAACTCACTCTGTAGACCACCAGGCTGGCCTCAAATTCAGAGATCAGTCTGCCTCTTACCTCCGGAGTGCCAGGCTTAAAGGCATGTGCATCTGCAGCCCAGGCTGGTCTACTCGAGGAGAACCTTCTGCCTCAGCCTCCAGGGTGCTGAGATTAGAGATATGAGCCACGAGGCCCAGCCTCAGTCAGCTGGCAGCTCCACCCACGGTGTCCTTTGGCAGAGTTAATTGGTGGGAGGAAATGGCTGTGTGGACTGACAATGCCGGCTGTCTTGCTGTCCCTCAATGATACTGTGACTGCAATTCTATGCTAAATAAACCCTTTCCTCTCTCCCGTGCTTTCGGTCCGGGCACCCTGCCACGGCAAAGAAAGGACACCACGCCGTCTCTCTGGCCTGAGGCAGGGGAGGCCTGGGTGGCACTCTGTATGCACACCATCAGTTTCCTGTGGGTACAGGTGTCTGGGTGCAGGTCAGCACAGATCCTAGCTCATTCCTTCAAGCACCAGGCTCCATGGATTCTCTGCACCCATGAGGTACCCTGGGATGGGCGCTTTTCTTCCGGGGAGCGATCCCAGCAAGCCATTGGACAACACGGCCTGGCACAAGTCAAACACGGCCTGGCACAAGTCAAAGGTTGGCATGTTTTTTTGTTTTAAGATTTTTTTTTTTTTGCTTTTGTAAAGAAAAATAACGTGTTTTATGTATGAATCAAAACATTAAGTAGAAGCCCCTTGTGGGTGCACAGGGCGCCAGGCTGACCTGCTGGCCTGCAAGAGGGAGCGGCCAGTTTCTCCCGGGTGCTTCCTCAGGGCAGGGCACAGGATGCTGGGGAACAATTTGGTTTCAATAGACAGGAAAAAAAAAAAAAAAAACTTGACACACCCACTATACAACTGCAGACCAAGGAGTCCCACACCCAAGCTGGAACCTTTGGTGGCAGCTGGACTCATGGAGCCCTAACCGCACGCTGGGGTGTGAGACAACCCAGGATGTCATCAAGAGCTCCTAGGGCAGGAGTGTGGAGGTCAGGTCAGGCCACCTTCCCTACAGTTAAAAAAAAAGAAAGAAAAGAACTCTAGAAAGCACCCAAGCTTAACAAGCGGCCTCCTGGCAGGGAGAGCGGGAGGCGTGTTTTAAAGCACATGCCTCACCTGGCAAAAAATGTGTAGAAAAATAAAGTTACATTTTATCCCTGAATGACAGTGAAGACCCTTCCCTGCCCCATGCCCCTCCCCCACAACAAATCCCAAGCAATGTAACACAAAGACACACATATACACACTCACACACATACACACATGTACCTGGGGCCAAGGCCTGGGCTGGGGGATGGGACTAACCCCCACAGGCACATGTGACCCCACAGTATTGAGAAGGGTCAGTGTTAAGTCAAGGTCCCTCCTCCCTCCTCATGGGACAGATGTGCTCCACAGGCCTGCAGTGTCCCCAACAGGGAAGTGGTTGGGCATGGAGGCCAACGAAGGTGGCTGGAGCCACAGGTGGGGGGGGGGGGCAGGACGAAGGAGAGAACAGTAGGGCCTCAGAACTGAAGGACACAGGGGTCTCGGTGTGGGGAGGGGTCCAGTCTCATCTGAATTGGCAGCTCACGAGGCACTGATGGGCCGGGCCAGGACTCTGGATGACGTGCGTGCGCGGCGAGAGTCTTAGACAAATGGGCACGGGCGGTGCTGGTGCTCTCAGGGCGACAGAGCTACTTGCTGAGAGTCACCAGAAGTCACAAAATAGGTGTGAGAGGCAGGAGTCGGGGACAGGGGACACAGGTACTTAATGCAGCCCCAGGCTCCCCGCCTGCTCAGCCCTGGCCAGAGCCAACAGTCAGGGGCAGGGTGGGCGCCAGGGCCGCTTGCCCCGGAGTGGGCAGGTGTAAGGATGAAGCGACTCAGGGTTCCACATGTCTCCCAGGGGTTTTCTTCATCTGGTTTTGGCGGGGCTCTGGTGTCTGGGAGCGGAAGATGCGCCTCTGGGCAGCGGTAGGGCAGAGGCAGCCCGGCTGGTCCCTGCTGCAGCGACAGCACCCGTGTCCCTGGGGCTGGGCAGCTGTCAGAGATCCCTGGCTTCAGGGTCAGAGTGTCAGCACCAAACACAGCTGATATCTGCAGTCTGTCCGGGGACAGCAGGTATCCTGAGGTCAGGGACTCAACCCAGGGGGTCAAGGGCCCTGGTGTCAAGGCAGAGACAGAGCCCCTCAGGGAGGGGTCTGAGCGGCAGTGGTGGGAGCAGCAAGGGCCTGGGCCGTACCCTCGGGGCAATCAAGGTGACCGGCGCAGGCTCTGGTACAGGTAGGCTGAGGTGAACAGTGCATTGATGGTCAAGCTCACAGCCAGGAGGCCCCGGACAACAGTGGGGCCAACACGAGCTGCAAGCAGGACATAGTCAGAAGCAGTGTGGCTGCCACCCCAACCCTCATGTAGGGTGCTCAGATCTACCCCAGCTGGCCAGGCCACATCTAGTCTTCCCTCCAGGAAAGTCCTCCCTGCTTGGAGGACCTGGCGCTCTCCCGGGGGTCCCGGTTGGCCCTGCTTCTCTGAAGGTCTATCTTTCCAGAACCTACCTGTGTGGCCACATGGACCTTACATCAGACTGTCTGTGACTGTACCCAGGTAACAGGGGGGCAACCAAAGCACCCATGCTACAAAGGAAGAAATGGGGGCTTGTGGGGGACTGCCAGGCTCAAGTCTCAGAGGTGTGAAAAGTAGACTCAGAGCTGGGAATGGTGGCATGTGTCTATGATCCCGCACTGGGGAGATAGAGGCAGCAGATACGGAGATTTAAAGGCATTTTTAGCCTAGTGAGTTCAAAGCCAGCCTGAGCTATAGGAGACCTTGCTTAAAAACAACATAATAACCAAAAGTAGAATGAGGTCCCAGGTCTTTTCATCATGGCCTCAAAGTCACCAGACCAAACTCCAGATTTGGTTCAGGGGCAGGAAACCTCACTTGCTGACCTGTCCCTTCTGCTACCAGTGTCTTGTCTCCCCTATGTGGGGGAGGTCACCAGGATTCACGGATGGTCTCACATCCCACCTGTCATTAAGCCAGGCCCTGTGCCCAGGCCCACAACCTGCTACCACACTGAGACTCTCCAGAGAAGTGTCATCCTGGATGTCTTCAGTGGCCAATGAATGAACATCTGGGATCTGTTCTCCCACCCGGCCACAAACCTTTCCAGGGAGCAGTCTCCTCTGAGCACCCTTTGGTGGTGGTGTCGACCACACAGGTGGAGGACTGTGATGAGTCATCCTCTTTCTTGATGGAGTGGCTGCTGCAGGCACCGTCTCTCGCCAGCATCGATCTCATGTCTGCAGAGGGAAGACACCTGCTGTGCCCACAGCTCAACCCCAGGACTTCCCAGCAGCTCTGCTTCTGTCCTAGGGCAAGGTCCTCGAGTTCTAACTGCTCATCTCCTCTGAGCAGCAGAGGGCCGGGCCTTATCTGGACTCCGTGCTGAGGTCAGGTCAGGGCAGCACTCAAGTGTGCCGACTGGCACCAGCAAGTGCCACAAGGCAGCGAGGCTTGAGGCTGAGGGTCAGAGCGGCTCCAGGGCTATGGACCATCTGCCTGTCCCCTCCTCTACACTGCTTAGCTCATGTGGTCAAATCTACCCACATTTACAGACCCAAGAAAGCCACATACTCCGTGTCAAACACTAAATTCTAACAGGGTCCAATTAACTTTTAAAAATGCTTGGTAGACAACGGAAGCACCCTTGACAGGCACAGACTGACAGCACACATCAGGCTTCCGAAGGTCACTTCTAAGAGCAAAGGGTAAAAGCACCCATTGGAGAGGATCCAAGGTCACCAGAATCACACGGGTATTTGACTACAGAGGCCCCATTACACACGCTTCAGGCCCACACATACCCATGTTGTGTTTGGTGTCCTGCGTGCGATTCCTTTGGGGGAGCTGGGGAGGCTCAATGAAGAGGCTGCCGTTGGCCGGCGAGTGCTCCTCCGAGCTGCTGGGGGTACTGGGCGATTCCCCGGGGGTTGAGAAGAGCAGCAGTTTCTGCCCTTTCAGGTTGAGGCGGGCAGGGCTGATGAGGGGCCTGCGGTGGCGCAGGGAGCCAGAGCTGGAGGCCACGGAGCTGGCGACCGAAGGCGTTGGGGAACGGAGAGAAGAAGAAGGGAAGCTGCCCGACAGCAAAGAGAAGTAATCTGCAGAGGGGGGATGGAGAAAAAAGTGACCAGATGGGCATCTGCACAGTGACACTGACGTTTGCCACCGCCCACTGGGACCTCATGAAGGAAGGTAAGGTGCAGGCTGTGGATAAGTGGGAAGCCCTACAGAAATCTGAGGGAGGAGGGGCTGCGGCCACACCAGAAACTGAGCAGCAGCGGGGGAGGGTTGGGATGTCCTAGAGCCTTGCATCTCTTAGACCTCCCTGGGCTGAGCTGGACCAGCAAGAGCAAACTCTGCTCTGCGGTCAGCTGGCCTGAACTCTAGGGCTGCAACTGGCACCTGGCTCTATCTGTAAACACAGCATGCCGCTGTCTGACCCCAACCTCCCCAGCCTAGGTCTAGAACAGTTCCACCGGCCCAAAAGCTCGCGGTTAACCTGCCTGGGGGGGGGGGTGGCTCCTGGAAACAGCTTTCCAGTCCCTTCTGCCTGCTCTCCTCCTCCTTACCTGAAAGAGAAACCTCCCCAGGTGGAGATACCCGAGATGGTGGGCGGCTCCCACTGAACAGGTATCCTGAGTCTAGGCAGAAAAAGAAATGCAACATAGCCAGACCCGAGGGTGATGGCCACCACCCTCTGTCTCCACATCCCTGTCATGCAGTACGGCATGCTTCCATGGAAACAGGTGCTGCCATCCAGTTAAGTTTATGGGTAGAGTCACGGTTAGGCTTGGGGTTAGGGTGGTGGTTATGTTTAGGGTTAGGGTTAGGTTAAGAGTTAGAGTTTAGGTTAGGGTCTCAGTTTCAGGTTTCCTTGGTCAGGTCCTTCCAAGGACCCCACACCATAGCTGTCACTTGACCATAGCTGTCCCCTCCCTGCACAGCCAGCGGAGGCCTACCAGCACCTTTAGCTGTGGACTGCCTGCACTGCCCTCAAGCTTCATGAAGAGCTTGACACTTGCTCTGAGGAACAGGAGGGAGAGGCTGGCACTATTCTCTTACAGGAACCTGGCTCACAGGGTAACCCAAGCCTTCACACTAATGACATTGCCATCTCTACCCATCCCTACTCCAAGGCCTAGACTCACAGCCCTGCTCAGCTCAAACACGCACTCCTGCAGTATACAAGTGTTTCTGGCAGGGAGATCACTCCACCTGCACACAGCAGGTAGAGAAGCAGCCTGAATCGAGGGGCCTGGCAGCCAAGCTCACATCCAGCTTTGAATGCAGGGGGACCTTGAGCAAGCCACCAAAGATTGGGGTTTTCACGAAGTTGTCAGCGGAAGCCTGACTAAGAAGAAGGGGGATGAACCAGAACCACATTCTGCCCTAAGCTCACTCGACATCCAGAAAGCCACAGGACACTCCTGAGATCTCAGGTAGGTTCCCAAAGGCAAGTGAGAATTGTCATTAACATATCGGGATTAAACGTGTTTAAAACTGGGTATGGGGCTTGACAACCTGACCCCACATATATGATCTGGCACTTGCGTGCGCGCGCACACACACACAAAGGTCTGGCACTTGTGCACACACACCCCTGCCCCAAAACTTTAAGAACAAAATGAGCAAATAAGTCATCTTCCTAGCAGATTCTACTAGGAAAGAGGGGGAAGACAGAGTCCCTCCAGCCAGGGCTGGGACTTGGTCTCTTCAGGCTCCCAAAGACAAGCAATGAACAAAATCCTTGCCCTGCAGGTGCACGTCTTCCAGTAAGATGGGGAGAAACACTCTCTGAGGACTTTTAGGGAAGGGGCAGGGGTAGACACAGGGTTACACATACCCCAAGCTGGTATCAAACTGGCTATATAGTTGGAGATTGTTGTAATTTTTAAAAAGTGGCTCTAGAGAGAAAGACCCCACTTAACAGAGTTCAAGTGGAGAGGCTTTTTGTTAAGGAAAACGGGGAAAGGGAAGGGAGACCAGCCTCCCGGGACAGGAGCAGGAGAGAGGAAAGAAAGGTGGGGGGGGGGGGGGCATATCCTGTATGAACTTCAAAGGCAGGCCAGTACAGATGCCTACATACTAACAAAGATGACCCCAACTTCTGATCCTCCTAGCTCTGCCTTCAGAGCTCCGGATTTACAGGTGTCCACCACCAATGCCGGGTCTTTACAGTGTTGGGGATAGAACCTGGGACCTTGTGAATGCTAGGCAAGTACCCTACCAACTGAGCTACATCACTAGTCCCTTTCTGAGCCCTTTAAATATATCACTTCAAATAACACAACCACTCACGAGGAACATTCTCCTACAGGCCCATATTTTAAGGAAGGAGGGAAACAAGGGGTATGATCGCTCAATGTAGCTGCTGAGCAGGCTCACTGGGTCTGAGCCCGGCCGGCCCTGCCCATCTATCTCCTCAGCTGGAGATGGAACTAACTCTTTGGAATTGCCCCATCTCCTCCTCATAGGATCTCCGCCCAGCTGTCCTCAGCCCGAGTCTGTCACCAATACTTGCAAGGTCTTACCTGTCCGGGTCAGAGAAGGTATGGTTCCCAGTGACAGGGCCCGGCTGAGGCGGCCTGGCAGCGAGGAGGGGGAGACCCGTCGGGGAGATCGGAACAGCTGCTGCTTGGTGAGGGGCAGGAAGCCGGGTGGAGTGGGGATGAACAGGGATGCCGGTGAGCTTGTGATGCTTGGGCAGGACATGGCCAGGCTAGGGCTGGAGGGGAAAAGGCCGGCAGAGTCTCCTGAGAAGTACCTGCAAGGACCCACGGGGCACAAAGAGTTGCGAGTGAGCCCGGAGGACCCTGGAAGTAGCCTCTGCACACTCCCAGGACATGAGGTGGGCCTGAGTTGGGGGTCCCAGAGGAGGCGTGCGTTAGTTGAAGCAAAGGGGCAACTGTCCACTGATTAGGAGCAGGTGGCTGGGAGACGCCAGCATGACCCACCCCATCCCGCATGCCCCCTCCGGCCCCTCAGGCTCACTGCAATCTACCTCTACTATGAGTCTCAGCATTAAAGTGACACTGTTACCCTGGCCGGTCTCATGCCAATCCCCTTGGTCCTGCCTGGCACTCAGTGAGGCTCACTGGACTTGGGCTCTTCTGGCCACCGCCATTCTTTGCCTAGAAGCTCCCAATGGAACGGCTAACTCGGGGACACTTTGGGTGGTTCCCAACTGGGCTGGGATGCTGCTATTACCTCTCTGCTGCAAGCCTCACGAGGCTGCCTCCCGCAGCACAGGGGGAGATGGCCAGGCCCAGAAAAGGCTCTTAACAGTGTACATACCAAACTCAATCTTAGAAAAGACCCCCGAACAACTATCAAGGTGCCCGAAAGACAGAAGGTGACAGTGTCTCTTTAACTCGAGAACAGAACAAATCACACAACAGAACCTGATGGCCGCAGGCCAGAATATCAACCATGCTTTTGATTAAGGCATCCAATTACAGAGGGGAGAGGGGCAGAGTCAGTTAATACATTAGTCTGCCATCTGGAAGAGCTTCCGGTATCCAGCCTTACCTCAGTCCCAAGGGACAAATGAGCCCAGCAGACAATGTGCCGATGGACGGGCTGGTAGGGTCAGACCTCATGGTGAGCAGGGGTCGAGGTCCCCATGCCGTCATAGCTGAGGGCTAGGGGCTACAGCTAGCCAAGCTCCGTACTACCTTTCCCCATTATTTTCAGTTTTGTGAGAGAACCGTATGTAGTCATATGGTGAGCGCCCAGAGAGATGACCTTCCCAGTCTCTTGCAAAGCACCATGAAGCCACCTGAACTTCCAGCTCATGTTTGGGGGACACAGGGAGTCAGGGCACAGCAAAATTGCAGCGGGGCATTCGTGGTGCACCCTAGCTCTGCTCCTTTGGGGGCTGCTGGAAGCCCCCACTCTCACTCTAAGACTCTGGGGAGTACTGTGCCTTAAACAGAAAAGCTGGGTTTTGTGGGATGGGGTTTGCATCGGTGGTAGAGTATTTGCCAAGTGTGTGTGTGTGTGTGTGTGTGAGAGAGAGAGAGAGAGAGATCTGAGTTTGATCTTAAAAAAAGTAGTTTATCTTTCCATTTTAGGATTACAAATGAGTCTGGCAGGACCTCAATGAATGGCTCAGAGGGGATACATGGACACATTCAGGCACTTAAGGGCCAGTAGAGGTGAGGCTGGAACCTGGGTACCACATGCTTGACTGTGTGTGTGTGTGAGGCCCTTGAGAACTTGGTGGAAGTTGTGGCAGGTGTCAGTCAGCCTAAGCGGGTGCATGGGCATGACCAAGCCCTTCCAGCAGGTGGCAGCAGGACACCACACTAGGCCTCCTGTGCCCACCCACTCCTGCATAGCCAGGAGCCGGGTGACCTTGGATTAGGCAACCCCAAAGGATCAGCAAGCAGTGGGGTGCAGGAGGAGGAGAGGTCCCAGGCAGGCTGGGCTACAGACTCCTGGTCCCAGAGGTCAACACCAAAAGCTAGGCTGGACCTCGCTAGCATATCCCTGTTCTCTCCAGCTCTGCTCAACCCTGAGGCCATGCGGTGGTCAAGCCTGGGCACAGGGATGCCGTGGGCCTTGAAGCCTCTGACAATGTTAGCATTGTGAGAGAGGTCTTTGGAGGTCTGTTTCCTCTGGCTGTGACACCAGGTGGCATCATCAGATGAGTGGATCCCAAAGGTGGGAGCCCCGGGCAGCGTCCTCTGCAAAGGACCCAGCAGCACTCCTTTAGTGAGTGGTCTTGGATGCCGGCACACTCCAACCCAGCGCGCTCAGTCTCCTGTTTCCTGGGAGCCCTGACTGTGAGGAGGGCCATTAGGCCAAGGCTGGAACTCACTAACCCAACCCTGAGGGAGCCACCAAGAGAGCAGCTGCTTAAGCACAACTCATTCCCATGGGAAAATCATTGGGCAAGACAAAGGAACAGCTGTGCCCTGAGCCATTCCCTGTCATCACCAGCTCCCGGCCCGCTCCCGTGTAAATGCGAAGCTCCCGAAAGCCACCCAGCTCCCACCCTGGCACCGAAGCCTTTCTGAAGGACCATGAAAGAAAAAAAAGACGCGGTACCTGGTGCCAACCGGAGTGAGCGGGTCCAGGAGGCATTTATTGAAAACACAGCATTCAAAACATGACGCTATGGCCAGCGGTGGTTACAGTGATTAGGGTCGCTAGACAATTAGTCACAATCCTACTACACGACACAAGACTTGTACTGGGTGCAGATAAAGACATGGCAGGGCTGATGGGCTGGCTAGGGGAGGGAAGAGGGTGTTTCTGGTGCTTACTCCAGGGCAAGTGTTACGGCAGAGTCTGCTGGACCAGAGCGGGGACCCCAGACCCAGGTGAATACGGTAGAGTCTCCCTCCTTCATTTTTCAGGGATACGACCTGTATGAACCTGGGATGATCCCACTCTGACCAGGGATGGCCTGGCGGTTGTCCCCAGTCAACAAGCCGCAATCCAAAAGTGCCCACATTTTCTCAGCTTCTGCCAGCGACACCAAAACACGCTGGCACTTTCTCCAACTAACACAACTTTAAAGGACTATTAATATTAAAAAGTAACACAAAACTCTTTAAAACACCAGGAGCCTTTGTTCCAGCATGTTCTCCACGCCCACCAGAAGGTAGGAGCAACATGCTAGCAGGGATCCTGGCTGGCCAGAGCTGGCTCTGTGTATCATAAATAATTTAAATACATATACACACAAACACAAACACACCCTGCTTCTATCCAATGCCAAGAAAGCAGAAGTAAGCAGCACCCTACTGTCAGCCTCTCTGAGGGAGAGCGCCACAACATACACCAGAGGACGCGCAGACTGGCTCCACCACCTGTCGTGGCTGTATGTCCCCCCCCCCCCCCAGTTTCTTGGGAGAAAGCGACAGGCAAGTGTTCCCTGTTCTCTAAGGCAGCTGTGCCACACAAGGTCATCAGTAGCAAGCCCACATCCCAACCATGGCCTCATGGCCTCACCCACACCTCTTCAGAGGGGCTGCCACACCCTTTACCCAGTGCAAAGTGAGCCCTGCAGCGCCAGAAAGAAGCCCCAGCCTGCTGACACTTCGGCTACCCACACATGGGAGCTGAGTGAGACACGGCGGCTGTCTGGTTAGGAGGTCAGAATGGCTTTTATGGACCTTCAATCAGGCTTATACTGTGGGCCTGAATGCCGCTCTCCAGTTTCCCATGGGGTTCCAAGAAGTCATCTGACAAAGACCTAGCAGCAGATGGCCATGACCGATGTGACTCCATTCATGTGCAACCTGCTTTTGCCCTCCCTGGGTTCTGGTACAGAAGGCAAAGGAGCCTGCAGCTTAGTGGGGTTTATGTTAGGAGACAAGTAGTAGGGACAACGCAAAGGAGGGTGCAGTCCAATCAGAGGCCACCAGAGGGCAGTATGCCAGGTGGGTATAGCATTAGCCTATGCTCCAGGTGAGGCCTTAGAAGATGACGTTCACGGACAATGGCCAGGCCAGGTGGTGGACCATTGTCACCAAGCGTAAGCTACCTCATGTGGTCCTCAAATCCACTGAGGCCACTACCCCAGGGCCCCACAGAAGTACCCACTTCCCACTTAATACGGTTAACCAAGGGTAAGGGACAACAGCGGTTTGATCAGAACCATGCAGCTAGTAAGGGCCTGATCTGTGGCCCTTCCCCTAAGACTTTTAGGGGTGGCATCCTAGGAAGCTGTGCCTGAAAGGAAGGTGAGGTTGAGGCATGAGCCTGCAGCTGCCCCTAGATAGTGTGAGGCCGAAGCCTTGGCCCCCTCCACAAACTCTTCAGGGAAGCCAGCCACTGATGCTAGAGCGGGACAAGGTGGGAATGACTTGGAGCTCCTGATCTGGGACATCCCCGTAGGACAATCCATCCTCAAGCCTGGCGGGCTACAGGGCCCTGTGGACCACAGTGCACTGTATTCTCCACTCCTCCCCAGGAAAAGACCCAGGAAGGTCTTCAAACAGGGAACTGGGAATAGGTGTTGAGAGGGGACGAGGGATCGGGAGGTTCAAGGGCTGAGGGGGCAGCTCTGCTCTAGACCCAGCTCATGCTGAGAGGCCATGGCCTTGTCACCCAGCCAGTGCCAAGCAAATGACAAGGGTAATTGGCCAGTCTGCACCCTCACCTGGAGTCAGAGCCAGTGGGGGAGAGCTGAGACAAGACAGAAGCGCCTGTAGCTAAGAGTGAGCATGGCTGGGAAGCAGGCAGGTCGCCTGGGGGCTGCCTATGTTTAGATCCCCAGGGCTATGAAAGGGTCTCAGGCCAGAGGTTGTGAGCAGCTACAGGGCATCTGGGAGCACCGGCATTGGGGGTTGGGGGGCAATGGAGGGGGCAAGCATGAACTCAAGGCCCCGCTAACGGGGTGGGTAAGAAAAGACAGGGTCCACCACCTGGCCTCCCCCACCCCCAGTCACTGCTGCTTCTCTGACCTTCGGGGCCGGGACCTCCGTGGGCCTGCCGCCTTCCTTGTAGCCACAGCTGCGGTGAAACCCACCAAGCAGCACAGGGATGTGGTGCTGAGCTTGAGTGTGTCCAGCCAGCTGGGCGACGCGGCCTGTAGATACTTCTCTGCCAGGTGCAGCCCCAGCAGCAGGGCCCAGAGACAGCTGGAGAAGGCATCGATGCGGCGGAGCCTGCTGGAGACAGCAAGGTGAGTGTGTGCCCCGCGGACACTACCGACCACCCCCCTCCCGGGCCCCGCCACATCCTGCCCCACACCCCATCTCTCAGGGAAGAGGCAGAGTGAGGCCAGCAGAGGTCTGAGTCCACACAAGGTATCAAGGCTGCCCTGCACTAAGAAAGCCAGGGCTCCTGCACCTGTCGCCTCGCCTGGGGACTGAGGTAGGAAACCATCCTCACTTGAGCTCCCACAGCACCGGGGCAGGTGGCGTCTGTTACTCTGATTTTAGAGATTGCCAGGTGACTGGGCCCAGCGGCATTGCCATCTGCAGTCCCGTGCTGGCCTCCTGGCCCCCGGAGAACTTGGACAGCCTTGTCTAGCTGCATGGAGTTCAGGCCATAGCAGGGGACCGGCAAGGCCTCCTGGTCCCCGCCCCCGGGCAGCGATGCAGTGTGCAGACCTCTGCCCGCCCATGCCCAAGCTGCCACACATACCTGATGCGGCCAGCCAGTAGCATGGCCAGCAGGCAGGTGAGCAGCCCCACTGCCACAATGCCGGTCTGGTGGCTCTGTCCGAAGGCCCAGGCCTCATGGAGCTTCTCTGTGGTGTGCTCCGGCAATAAGCTCAGCAGCTGCTGCCAGCCCTCGGCCTGAGTTGTAGTGTTGTCTGAGGCAGCAGAGCTGTTGCCCCCAGGAGGCAGGGCTGGGGGCAGGGCGGCCCCTGGGGCGGAGGGTTCACTGGGGCTGTACAGTGTAGTGGACAACAAGAAGGCACAAGCCAGGAAGGCCAGGGCACGCAGCAGGATGACCTGGAAGGGGGCCTTCATTGCCGAGGAACTGAAGCTCTGAGGGAGGGAGAGACGGGTAAGTGAGAAGCCAGAGAGCCACCATCGGCCACCCCTGTGCCCACCATGTAGGGTGGCCAGGGCTCAGATACTTAGCGGTCCTGTTTTTATGCCCTTGCCTTAATGCTCAGGCAGCCTCACTATGATGGTCACTGTGGGAGGGGCTCTGCTCCTTCTCTACAGAAACCCTTTCTATACACCGGTGACTTTATTCCAAATTTTTCTATCACTGTCAAGTTTTCATCAAAAATTCTTATGACACTTAACTAGAACTCAACTAAAATGTGCAGCTAACTCTGGATAAAATAAAAGTTGAATGAAAATTTCTGCTATTCAGTTACTCGGGTTATAAACCAGGAAGCTAGAATAAGAACTAAGGGTTTGAGGTCAGGGGCTGCCTGTCCTACTGAGCAGACACAGGTGAGCAGGGACAGATGTAGCATGGCCAAATGGTCAGTCTGGAAAGGACTCAGCGAGCGGACGCAGGCCCCGTCTCCGACACAGGTGGAGAAGGAACCTCCTTGTGGGGCGAGTCTCACTCGCAACACACTTGGTCTGACTCTTTTACCTCTTGCAGACAAGTGGCCATCACTACGCCACAGTCCCCTAACTTACTGTCTACAAACCCAGGCTATGTGCTTACATTACACACCGTGACAAAACTAGAGTTACTTTAGCCATATATTCTGGGGTCTGACCCCCGTGTGCCATGTGTGTAGCCTTGTAAGCATCTCAGCCTCCACGCTTGGTTCCCACAGCTGTGACCAGGAGCCACAGTGCCTACCGTAGTACAAGGCTGCCAGGAAGGACGGGTGCAGTAGTGTCTAGGAAGTGGAAAGTCAGCAGGGCAACCCCAAAACTGGGCTAAGCTACTCTTGTCAGGAAGGGGCCACCAGGCAGCTGCTTCTCAGGAATGGGGTCTTGGTATGCTGCGTTATGTCTCAGTCACTAGGGCCCAGCTCTCAGAGCATCTTCTCACACAGACTCAACACCCAAATACCCCATGGCCTCAGACCTGTCCATGGGCCTGGTCAACCTCCCGGCGCCGGAACTGGTGGCTGAGCAGCAGGGCACGCAGCTGGCGGTTCTGGTGCTTGATGTAGTACTCAACAGCTGCCTGGCATGGGCGGCACAGCTTGTACATCTGCTCCAAGTGGTGGCGGTACACCTCGATCTCCTCATCATACCTGCCCTGTAGGCAGGGTAGAGGGTTGGTGTCACACATGGGAACTGGGTTCGGATGCCGGCCCTGCCTGCGGGCTAGACAGTGACTTTAATGACATCCTGTAGCATAGGACCTGCTCAAGTGATACTCTCTAGGTTCTGGCAGGAGGATGACCTAGGATCGGGTCCCACCCTTCGCCTTGAGTCTGACATCTAAGTCCCTCACACCAGGGAGCTGACTGCTGGCTGAGCCCGGGTTTCCAAGAGCCAACCAGTCCTTCAGTTTCACTGTAGCTCATGGTGGAGGGAGATGCTCCCTCAGAGATGCATCAAGGTCCAGCTAGTACACCAGCGGGAATGGCTGTTAGTGTGATCTCTTGTTGGGGCATGAAGGAAAGTTACCTGCTGCTGCTCATCTTTCCCTTGTGGCCTCACCGTAGAAAACTCAAACCATTACATTTACTCATTTACTTAGTGTATGTATAAGCATGGAAGTGGAGGTCAGCGGGCAATCTGTGGGACCTTGTTCCATCCTCCCATCATGTGCACCCCAGGGATCAAACTTAAGATAATCAACCTTGGCAGTAAACGCTTTTGTCCTCTAAGCCATCTTGGCGGCTCTTCCTCTTGGTCTGACTCATTCCTGATTTCCCCTCTTTCCTAGGCATCTCGGAGCCTCAGGTGGATCTGCCTCTTTCTCCCAGGATGCCCTGCTAGGCAGGACAGACTAGCAAAGGACACCAGAATGTAGCCCCTAAAAAATTGCAGCCGGAGCTCAAGGCACAAACCCTTCTGGCCTGCCAGGCCCTGGTTTCCACGGTGTTCTCCCAGTGGTCACAGCAAGATCACCCCGAGCACGAGCTCGGCTCCAGCTGAGAAGGGAGCCACACACCCTGGAATGTGGGGGCAGCATGAGGTGAACAGCTATCTGGCCCTGCCCGCCCCTGCATGCTCACCTCCTCACGCGGCGTGAAAGCAGCCAGCTGCTTGATCTTGGTAGTCTGGTGGTGGCTGCACCTCCGGCACAGCAGGACCTGGCTGCTCACCCACTGCTGCGGCTGCGCGGGGTCCCGGGAACTTGGTGCACCGCTCACCACGTGGTTCAGGTGCTCCATGTACTGTGCCGGGATCGGCTTGTTGTAGTCTCCATTCTGGGCAAGGGAAGGCTCCTGGTCAGCGGGGTCCACTCAGGGACGTCAGGGGTTTACACAACCCTACTCTGGCTTTCTTTTCACAAAGAGCAGCAATTCCTTCTGATGCCACCTCACACGGTGGGTGGAACCCTAAACATCTAGGTGCTGATACGCCACCCAGCCTGAGTGTCAGGGGAGGCCCCGGAGCGCGCCTTGCCCACATACCTCACCCTGGTTTTGTCCCTGAGAGTCACACACACTGAGAACTAAGGCTGCAAGCTGGGCCTATGGGTAGGCTATCTGTTTTTACTAAGTTTCAGTAAAAGCTACATTCTGACACCCACACGCTACACGCTACGGTGGCTGGCCAGTCAAAGTCGAGACAGAGAACAAACCACCCACGAAACCGAAGACCTTCTGTTTGCAGCAACTGGGCTGCAGCCATCTTAGCTTTCACTGTGAACCCCGATCTTGCCACCTGCTGCGGTGACAAGTGGCCACAGCTCCCTGCACCTGTTCTTCCTCAAAGGGAGGCACGGTGGCAGGATCACAGTTAGAACACAGTGGCATGGTATGTGTAAGCTTGAGCCAGCTCAGCAGCAGCCTCAGCCCCGCCCACCCACCGCCAGCCTGCAAGCACCGCACCTCTTGGAAGCCGTTGTACTGCTCGCAGTGGGGGCAGTCCCAACAGTTGCGATTCCCATAGGGTACCAGTGTGTCCTGGTTGCAGAACCAACAGTTGACCACTGTATGTGTTGGCTTCACCCTGTGGACCAAGGACAACAGCATCAGCCTGGAAGACCTTGATGCAATCAATACACATATGAGCGCAGCAGTGGCATCCAAGGCGGAGGAAGGCCCAGCCACAGGAGGAAGTCATGGCAGACTTTACAGGAGGCAGCTGAGACTCACTGGCTCTGCAGAGTATCCACCTGGGAGCCCAGGCCCAGCAGCCCCCCATTTCCGGGTCTCAGATGGTAGGGTGGCACAAAGGCACAGGGCCAGGGCTAGCTAATCAATGGGCCAATGGCGATGAAGCTTAGGATCCCTGTTCTCCCACGAGGTCTGCTCCTAGAGTGCACAAGTCATGTTTTTGGAGAGTTCTAAGACTAAAGGGAGCTTTCTGTCCTTCCAGAAAAATTCCCTAGAGGAGAGAGAGCCAAGGAGGCCAAGGGGTGGGGACTGGTGACAGGGACAGTGACAAGTCACAGCTGCCCAGCCAGGGCCCAGCCTTGGGGGGGGGGGGCAGAGTGCAGGCCCAGAGTGGGTTTCACTGGGCACACACTGGGGAACAGGTGGGGCCTGCAGGGTAGTCCTGGCCCAGACGCTGGGGTCTGTGCAGCCCAGGGACTGAGAAACAATTCCAACTGTGGGGCACCCCACAGACAGCATGACTCTCTGGCCTTAGCATCCCAAAGAGAAGCTGGGTCCCTGGTGTGCATGTGTGTATGTATGCGTGTCCCCAGGAGACCCCCATTTGTCAAACTCAGCAGGTAAGCCACATCTGAAGTGGACCAGGCACAGTACCAGCTGCTTCCGGGGGTCACAATAATGCAGTGACAAGATGTAAGGAGCTATAAGGGCCACCTAGTGGGGGCCAGGAGGGAGAACAGCTTTGGAGGTGGGGCTCTCGTTCCTAACTCAGCCTGGCCAACAGCACTACTCCCTACCCACTGTGGGCAGACTAAGGGAGACACCCTGTCACCGGGGTAAGAACACCCCCCCACACACACACAGGCTTGCTCTTGGGAGCACTGAACAGTGTTCTAGACCAGTCAGTATCAATAAATTCCAGTCACACAGGATAGTGATGCTAGGGCTCTGTAGCAGCCCAGCCTCACACCTCCTACCTCAGTTCAGCAGGAAGGAGTGTGGAGGGGCGGCTCCGCGTTAAGATCACTCACTAGCCTTGCAGAGGACCTGAGTTTGGATCCCAGCATCCACTTCTGGTGGCTCAACAACTGCTCATAACTCCAGCTTCAGGGGAATCTGATGCCTCTGGCCTGCACAGGCACCTGCATGCATGTACACACACACACACACACACACACACACACACACACACACACACACACACACGACCCTGTACCACGGTCTCTACTGTCTTCCTCCTCAAATGAGTCGCACAGCCTTTGCCCTGGAGAGACCGTTGCTAGTACCTGGTACCTGACAACTTTACTGGCCCCACATGGAAAGCCATGCAGAACCCTGCGGCACCAGCTGTGGCTGGAGGTTTGAGAAAGAGCTCTGCTTTGGGGTGTTTGGCATTCCTGGGCAATTAAGCACTTACTTTGTGGTAATTTGTACATCTTTTATAGGCCTCTTTGTAATTATGCATGAGGCACGCCTCACAGCTGGTACTTAGGCAGCATGACCTCTCATCTGCCCCTGAGTCTGAGACAACACACCCACCTGGCCCTGGGGTTCCTGAGCTCTGCTGCATTTGATGGGAAAGGCCAACCTCTGGGCTTGCTCTGGGTACCAAAGACAGACAAGCAGGGACTGTGGCTATGGAGTGACAAGTATGCCAGGAAGCCCCTCCTACCCAGGAAGCCATCATTTCCACTCTGTTGCTAGGGAAATGGCTCCTGGCCTCTGGAAAGAGCCTGGTGTGGAAGAGGAAGGCGGGGGATTCATCCTCCCTGAAGTCAGAGGCTAATCTCCGCCGGGGTGGATGCTGCAACGGGGTGTTCTTTTGTGGCCAAAGCAACCATTGTTCTACACCAGAAGCCACCTCCTTCAGGGACAGTCCCCAAAGGTATGTGGCAGGGTGGCTGGCAGCATCTCAGCCCCTCCAGCACCAACCAGCGCCGCTGCAGCACGTACCACAGGCTAGGTGAGCATGAAACAGCCCCAGCTGCCACTGCACACTGCTGCCACCGTCCCCAGGCAGACCAGGCAGCTCTGGCTGCAGAACTCATGCAGGTTTTCTTTGGGGAAAGTCCCTTCATGTGTCCCTCAAACTTCTTAGGCCACTTTCCTCCTCAAGCTAACAACCTGGATTCTGTGATAAATCACATTCAGGGCATAAGGTGAAGGTGAGGAGACGAAGTGACCCTTTAACACAGGAAGGAAGGTGACTCGGCAGGGACAGCACCTCAGCCCATGGCCAAGCCCAAGTCCTATTTATTGCCATGGGTGGGTGGGGGACTTGGAAGCCATTTTCCCAGCTGGTCTCCTTGACACTTAACTCTTGGGATGTCAGAAGTAACTTGAAGAAGCCATGTTGGATGGATCCTTATAGAAGGGGACAGGGGCAACAACACGCCTGGTATCCTCTCCATGGGCTAGGAACACACATGGGGGAAACATGAACATGGGCCTCTGGTCAGCCCAGGATGTTTAGGAAGAGCCAAATTCCTGCCCCCCAAACTGCAGCACAGATGGACCAGTTAAAGTTCCCGCCCCAGGAACCAGTCAGGGCCCATGCTACACCACACAGAAGACACTGGAAGGGGCTCAGTTATCCTAGGGTGCTCTGAGTCTGGCAGTGTACCCATCTCTCCCTAAGGGGGCTTTGTCTGTGAGATGCAGGCTGGCACCTCAGCCTTAGGGACAGCTCAGTTCCACAGAGGCTCTCTGCTCTCCAAGTGTGACCTCACCAAACAGAAGAGTCCAAGGAGGCACATCCTGAGCTTCAATGGTGGCAGCATTGGCCTGCCGCTCTGCACAGCCTGGACCAATGTCACAGCAACGCCATCGACAACAGCAGAGACCCCCAAAACTGATCCCCTGGAGACAGAGGCAGCTAGGGGACGGACACATCCCCTCAGTTCACCAAGCATCACACAAGGAGACGAATGACAATTCACAGACTACCTGGCAACATGCTATCGGCCACAAACGGGAGCCCTGAGCAGCAGGGCCGAGGACAGGAGAGAGTGGCGTCCATTCAGCTGGACCGGCGGCTCGGAACTGTGAGTGTTGAGGAGAGCCCAGCCACAGGAGTAACTGCCACAGGACCTCTGAATGCTAGGACAGGCATCCGAGAGGCTGTGTCCTCATCTCCAAACACAGAAACTACGATCTCAATCAACACTGGCAGATGCCACAGGCTGTGCAAGCTGGACAGTGATGGGTGCCGAGGCGCACTCACAAAGGGCGAATCCCAAGTACATTATGTGCAAGGATAAGACACATCTGAGCAGTAGCGCGAAGAGTTGTGGCACAGGAGGAGTGGCCTCTCACCCCAGGTACACAGGAGCTGCTCGGCTGGTAGTGCAGTGTGGGTGTGAGACTGGGGGGCGGGGCGGGGGCTTCCATTCACAGCTGGGCGAAGAAGGGCCGTCCTGAGGCTTAGTTTCCCCAGCTGTAAGGTGAGAATGGCCTCCCTGGAGCTGCTACCTAGTGGCAGGTACTGTGTGCCACCCATCGCCTGCCCATGGCAGCTGCTCTCGTCATCAACAGTAACCAGGACAAGAAAACGCCATGGGTAAGGAAGCAGGGTGGTCCATTTGAGTCTCGAGGACTTCCCAGCAACCACTTTGGGGTGGGGGGAGTCAGGGTGTGTGTGTCTTAGACACGGATTCTCTGTATAACAAACAGCCTTGGCTGTCCTGGAACGTGCTTTGTCGTTCAGGCTGACCTCAAACTCAGAGACCTGCATGCACCTGTCTCTGCCTCCCGAGTGCTGGGATTAGAGTAGAGTGCCTCCACGCACAGCCACTCTTTAGCCAATTTTAAAACTCTGGAAGGACTGACCTGAACAGAGATAATGAGACGTTTTCTTCACATGGCTCCCCAGGCCCACAGTCCTGCCCTTCGCTATCTCTGTGCTTAGCTTGCAAACACCCACTCCGCCAAGAGGCCTTCCAAAAACAACTCCTTGTAGGCCCTTCCTTGGCCCACTCAACCCCCATTCTCCGCCACAGCTGATGGTCCCTGCCTGCCACAGCGCTGCTCCCTAGGAAGGAAAGCTGCAGCCCCTTGCTAAGCCAGTCTTGTTCCAAAATTGTGAGTGGCCAATTTACGCCCAGATGAGATCAGCGCTCATGGAGACAACGCACAGTACCATTCTGACACCAGTCTGTGGCAGTCAAACTCTCCACCTTGATAGTCCAATGCGAGTGTGAAGGATGCTCCCACTGCAGGAGTCCTCACCAAGGCCTCAGATTCCTGTCTCCAGCAGAGGGCAGGCAGGGGTGACAGGCAGTGAGGGACCCAGTCCCAGTCTGCTCTTGTGGCCACATGCCCTATCCTGGGCTTGGGACAAGCTCTGCTTGGGACCTGAACAGACTGCCCAGGCTCCCTGTTAGGTAGGCAAGGAGGGGACGGCTGCTTTGGGCTGGCTGATCTTACAGGCCCCTCTGACTTCCAAAAACTGGGTGAGAACGCGATGAGATGCTTGGGCTGAGATTCCTAGTCAGGCACTCTCTCTGTCTTCCCCTTCGACGTGACCCCCTTCTCCAGACACGGCTGACTTCCATTTCTTCCTCCTCAGAAGCCTCCTGTGACTCTACTTACCTCTAACACCTATCAGCCAGGCTGACATGAGCTCAAAGCACAGCTCCCTGTTGCCAAGAGACTAGGGACAAGTCCTGAGCTTTGCACATCCCTGGCTGTCCCCAGGAGGCTCCATAAACCCGTATATGTCCCTGTCCTCGGGAGATGTGTTTGACCATGGAGGCGAATGGCCAAAGGCAGCTTTGAGGACTGGGGCCGCGTAATCTCTAAGCCCATGGCAGCCACGGCAGGGCAGAGTACTGCCCCCAAATCCCTTCCAGACAGGTGTCAAAGGAGTACGGCGTCCTCACCTTTGGGTAGACAAAGTTCCCTAAATGTGTGGAGTGCAGGCTTCTGCCTCAGGCTGCTACTGTTCACACGTGCCTCTCCTAAGTATTCAGCTCGAAGGCTTCTCCGGGGAAGGCTTCGGTGAGGAGCGTTATTGCCATCGCATGCGGACCAGCTCATCACCCGACAGATGGGCTGCAGAGGCCCGGCAGGGCAGTACAGCCCGGGGCTCAGGCCTCGAAGGGAGGAGCAGGCAGGCAGCCCCCTCCCCCAGCCACGCACGGAGGCGGCTTCCGACGAGGTCTTTAGGGGGCGAGGGAAAGGAGGCGGCGCGGCAAGGGTCCCGCGCATTGGTGGGCAGGCCTGGTCCGCACGGGGACTCCGGCGTGGCCTGGCGGGGGCGGGGCGGCGGCCCGGGCCGCGTGCAGCGGGGCGCGCACTCACCTCCGCGCGATCCGGTAGAGCAGCACGCCGGCGGCGGCGCACGCCGTGATCCCCAGGCCGCCCGCCAGGCCGGCGGTGGGGTAGCTGGCCAGCAGCGCGCTCACTCCCTCCATGGCTCCCGGGCGGGGACGGCGGGTTGGGGGCGCGGGGCCGCAGAAGGGATTCCCGGCGGCCCGCGCGCTCCTGCTCGCGCAGTGACCTTCGCCGCTTTGTAGCCGGAGCGGGCCCGCCCCTTGACTCGGCGCGCTCCCGCCGTGCAGCCAATCGCGGCGCGGGGCGAGCCCGGGTGGGCGGGGCTCCGGCGGAAACGCTCGGTGCCGGCTCGGAAGCGCCCTCCAGCGGCCGGTGTTGGAAAGCCACGCTCTAGGGCTGGACGGAGCTCCGCCCGTGCCCGCTGCCTGCGCATGCGTGCATCCTGCGTCTTCCTGTGCTTAGTAGAGTCGGCTTCGTCCTGCTATCCGGAATGCTTGCTCCTGCTTTCCTCCGGTTAGGCCTGTTTTTCTGGCGTCCGACCATAGCTGGCCTGTGCCGCTCCAGAGGCCACAGTGGTTAAAAATTAGCTTGCACAAACACAAATGTCCAAAGACGGGAACTAGGTTGAATAATCACAGGGTAGGCGTGTTTGAGAACATAATGCAGCCATTAGAAAGAATGGCTGAGCGGGAGGTATTAGGCCTGAAGGCGTGGCACTTTATTATTTTTTTTATGTCGCATGCAGATAATTTTCATAGTATGCCAAGTTTGATGAACTCGAGCACTTCAAATCGATTTACCTCAGGGGGTGAGATCAAGGCAAGAGCCACGTTATCAAGTGCTTCAGCACTGATGTGAGCTAAATGACTGATCAAGAAAAACTCACTGAGGTTTAGTGGTGTGCGCCTTTAATCCCAGTGGAGGCAGGTGGATTGCTGTAAATTTGAGGGCAGCCTGGTCTACATAGTAAGTTCCAGGATATCCAGACAATCCAAAGACTACGAGAGGCCCTGTCTTTAAAAAAAGGAAGGAAAAATTCTAGCAAGAAATACTTCTATTACGTCGGTGGTATAGTGGTACAAACCTTTAAGCCCAGGACTAGGGAGGCAGAGCTATCCTGATCTACAGAGTGAGTTCCAGAACGTCTAAGACTATGTAGAGAGGCCCTGTCTCAAAAAAAAAAAAAAAAAAAAAAAAAAAAAAAAATTAAAAAGGAAATGCTTATATTTAATTACATATTGTTCCTGTGGAACACACACACTTTTATGAGTGCTTTGGATCAGGTTCTCTGTGAGCCATGATGGGCTGAGGGTCACCATAATCCCTTGCTTTCTGTTCCCAGTTCATCAGTTTGCATACCCACCCACATACCACCCACGCACGTATGCGCATTCGCAGGGCAAGAAGCAAGAAGCAGGCTGAGTGAAGGGAGTCAATGGGAATCACGGGGCTGGAGGGCTTCGCTTGCCCATCAGAGAATAGGCCTTTCCCGGCTTCCTTTGCGACTTCACTGGCTGAGTGTGTGAAGGTAGACAATGTTTGTCTAAGACAAGCCTGCACGCACGTCACTTACCATCTCAGGCATCCCAAGATTACTGGTACCTCCAAGTCTCAGGTAAACGGGAAACTTACGGACCCGTTTGGACTCGGAACCGCTACAGATTGGCCAGGTCCCCAAATGTCCCCCAAAGCCCATGTGATAAAGTTTTGGTCTCTAGCTGGTGAGGCTACTGGAAGGTGACAGATGGACACTTTTAAAATGAACAACAGCAAAAGAACCCTTTTATTTGTATGAGTCCTTTGCCTGCTGTCTGTGAACCACAATGGTGCCTGGTGTCCAGAGGCCAGGAGAGGGCATTGGGTCTTCTGGAACCAGGGGGAGATGGTTCTGAGTCATGGTGTGGGTGTCGAAACTTGAACCCACATTCTCCAGAAGAAAAGCCAGTGATAACAGATGAGCCATTTCTCTAGCCCCAAGTGGTGAAAACTTTTAAGAAGGTCCAGTAGATGGCCACTAGGGGTACATCTTGCAGGGGACTGGAGTTTAGTCTCCTGCTTCCAGGCCATTAGCTGGCTTTGCTATGCTGTGCACCTGATGTCATGTGCTGCCCCTCTAGAGGCCCCCAGACAATGGATCTGTCAGTCATGGACTAGAACTACTCAAACAGCCAACACAAACCTGTTCACCTTTTAAACAGACTACCTCAGGCATTAGAACCTTCAGGTTTCCTGGCCTCTTGGCCTTCCTTTATTCCTTCACCATCCAGGTGGAGGGAGACACATTCCAGGTCAGTTTTTCATTTGCAATCTGCGTCATCTCAAGCTACTCATGTACAGTCAGTCTCACCGCCGATGGCTGCCCGGATTAGCTTACATGGGAAAATACCCAAGTAAGCAGTGAGGGCTGTTAAAGCCAGGATGCATACAGATGTATGCATAAGGACTGTTGAAAGGTAATTAGGCTGCCTCATCGCTCTTACAGAGGACCAGGCTCAATGCAACAGACAAAGCATTCAGACACGTAAAACAGTAAGCCTCTTTTAAAATTTTATTTATTTTTATTTTATGTGCGTTGGTGTTTTGCCATGGGTGTTTTTCCAGGTCCCCTGGAACTGGAGTTACAGACAGTTGTGAACTGCCATGTGGGTGCTGGGAGTTGAACTTGGGTCCTCTGGAAGAGCAGTTGGTGCTCATAACCACTGAGCCATCTCTCCAGCCCCATAAAATAAATCTTTAAAAAAAATTAAAATGAAAAAAATCAAAACACATAAAATATTTAAAAATTATAAAAATAAAGTAATAAATAGATAGTCCTCAAAATAAATTAAATAATGAATTTCTAGGACTGGGTGTAGTGGTGAGCGCCTTCAATCCTAGCACTCTGGCAGAGGCAGGCTGCTCTTTGAGTTTGGGGCCAGCCTGGTCTACATAGTGAGTTCTAGTTCAGTCAAGACAACACAGATCCTGTTTCAAAATCAATTTTTCCCATTGCCTGCACTTGTGAAGCAGAAGGAATAAATGACAGGATTGCTCTAGCCACCACTCGAGTGATCTTCTGTACTTTATATCCAGCAGCCTCTTCCCCTTGCTTTCTAGCTTTTCCCTTTCTGCTATGGGTGTCTTTCAACGCCCTGGTGTAGGGAAGGCAAAATGTTTACTTATACTTGCTCATATAAAATGTACTTACCTACATCTAAAACCACAAGAGAGAGAAGCAAGCAGTCTACCCAAGTATGGTTCCACACCCCTGTCATCCTAGCAGTTGGGGAGGCAAAAGCAAGTGGACAGTTCAGGGTCCTCTTCAGCTACATAATGAGTTTGAGGCCAGCCTAGAATAAGTGTAATCTTATCTCAAAAAACAAAACAAAACACAAAAACGGACAAACCTGGGTTGGGGAGATGGCTCAGTGCTTAAGGAAGGGCACCTATTCTGAAAGAGGACTAGGGTTGGATGCCCAGCGCCCATGATTCAGTCCGGCAGGACCACACACCCTCTTCTAAACACCAGGGCCACACCAGGCACTCCCCTGTGCGTTTTGTATGAAGACAAAGGGTTGAGCAAAGCACTCATACATGTAAAATACAAAACAAAAACAGATAAGAACCAAAACAAATTAAGGAATCTAATTTTTAAACATTAGGATAAAATTATCCAGGTTTTACTAGGAGTATTAAAAACAGGGCCTGTTGCCTCATGCCACATCAAGCAGCTACGGGTTTCTAGGATGGAGGCCACTCTGTAATGCCTTCAGGAGCATGAAGAGGCAGTCACTTGCTTTGACTTCTAGATATACCCTGAAGCTAATACTGCTAAGGGGCTGGAGAACACCCCGTCTAGTAGACAGTAAAGGAACAAATGAAAATGACATATAACTGAAAATCTCCTTTCGCCATTCCCAGGGCATCTGCAGTTGGATCTACTTCTGAGTCAGCAGGCATTTGCTCGGCGTTCTGACGGAGACCCGAACTTCCTGTGTGACACTTGCTCAAACTACTGATTTTTCTGCCTCTCCTTCTTCCTGACACAGGGTTTTACATATAGCCCTGGCTGGCCTGACTCCTTATGTAGCTCAGGCTGGCCCTGAGCTTCTGGTTGTACTCCGGACGTTGGCCTTCCTGATCCCTATTACATTCCTATAAGTCAGGCACAGACTGAGGGTGCTTCTTTAGCATGCACAAAGCCCTGGGCTGGATCTCCAGCACCCCATAGACCGAGTGTGGGGGTGCATCCTAGTAATTCTAACACTCAGGGAGTGAGAAACAGGAAGATCAGAATTCAAGGCTTGCTGGGCATAGCAGTGCACACCTTTAATCCCAGTAGCTGGGAGACAGAGTCAGGCAGATCTCTGTGGGCTTGAGGTTAGCTTGGTCTACAAAGGAGTTCCAGGCTAGCCAGATATAAGGATTATAGTTTCAAAAGAAGAAACAAACACAAAACAAGTTCAAGGTCATCCCTAGCTTTGAATAAAATCCTAGTACTTATTTCATTTTGAGACCGCCTCAAAGTTTATGTCTGACTCTCCTGCTTCTATCTCCTGAGTGCTAAGATTATAGATCTGTAATCTGGTTAATTTCAGTTATTTAAAAAACCTTAGGCTGGGCAGTGGTGGCTCACACCAATCCCAGCACTCCAGATGACACTCTCCGAGTTCAAGGCCAGCCTGATCTACAGAGGCAATTCCAAAACACCCAGGGCTACACAGAGAGATCCTGTCTTAAAAAAAAAAAAAAAATTACTTAAACTAGAGGCTGTGGTGTCTCACCGAGAAGGCAAGTAGACGGTAAGCAGTTCTTTAAAACTGCCTTCAGTCCAAAAGTGGGGATGAGTACAAATGCAGGAAAACGTATAAAATGCAGCTAACAATATTTCTCGTCATGCCAGGTCTGGAGGCTGAGGCGTGAAAATTTAAAGTCTGAGATCAAGCCTGTGATGCATGCCTTTAATCCCAGCACTTGAGAGGCAAGAGACAGGTGGATCTCTGTGAGTTCAAGGCCAGCCTGGTCTACAAAGCAAGTACAGGACAGGTAGGACTTTCACAGAGAAACCCTGTCTAGAACAAAAAACCAACCAAACAAACAATTTCTGAGATCAGTTGACTATAGTAGTAAAACCCTGTTTCAAAAAAAGGGAAGGGGGCCAAAGACACATTCCTCCCCACCCCAACCCCCCACGGGAACTAGAAATGTAGAGGGAAAGCTGGGAAGTTTGCACAGCGTCACAAATGTGACTGCTCTTCCCTGCCCATCAGGGAGTCCTT